CCCCTTCCCCTCCCCCATTTCTGATGAAGGGTCTAGGCCCAAAATGTAAGCCTTCCTGCTCCTCTGATGCTGCTTGGCCTGCTGTGTTCATCCAGCTATACACGTTGTTATCGCAGATTCTCCAGCATCTGCAGTTCCTACTATCTCCAGTACATTAGAGTAGTTGAGTCTAGACCTTCACCGAACTCTACACTCACATTGGAATAGTCAGGCCTGGGGGAACAAAGGCTGGAGTGAAAGCTTCCATAGGCGTAAAGTCAGGGCTGGAATAGGGGCATGCATTTAATTTATGAAACTCCGTAAGTCACCACAAGGTTAAAACAATAAAGTTTAGGTGGCATCAAGAAATAATGAGTAGAGACCTGTCTGAGCAAAATTCTGGCATTCCGAAAAAATTCGAGAAGAGTGTTTACTTGACGTGGGTCGTATTATTGCCACATGACAGGGATGATGATATGGGCAGCATCCTTCCTGGTGTGGGGAATGGATGACCATTCTGAGAATCAGGAACTTATACAGGAATGATCCCTCTGAAAACTTTATGGAATTGTAAACAAGTGAAAGTTCTCCACAAGGTGGCGTTAAAGTTCACAAACAGCAGGGTGATGAGACTAGGCAGAAACTTATTTCTAATTTTCCATTTTACAAGTTACTGCAGAATGAAGAGGTTGGCTTCCTTTGGAAACAATGAAGATATGTGCAATTTAGAAAACATGAGTTAGAAACATTAAATATAGAGTGAAGTAGAATTTGATTTAATTGGGATAATTTCATGAAAACCTAGGACTAGGTTTTTGTGATGTCTATGGGAGATCTGCCCAAAGGATGAAATTTACATCTTTAACCCTTTCAGATACAGTCAACCACTCGCCTAATGAGACAGAATAGTAGAATGTAATCCTCAAATCACAAGCAAAATCTGTGTGATTGGTGATATTTCATCCCATTAGACTTGCACTATTTTTGCTAATGGCTTGGTGGCAAAATTGAGTCAAGCTCCTGGGTTTCTTAGCAGAAGCTGCATGTTCAATTTTTATCTGAACACCTTGTACACTTCAATCTCTTAAATCCACAAGTTTCTGGGATGACACCAAATTAACTGAAGAACGGAGGGAGCGTAGTTGGCTGTTGTCATAGAAGCCCATAAAATTCTAATAGGAGTAGACAGGTTAGACACAGGAAGGATGTTCCTGATGACAGGCAGTACAGAACCAGGGCATACAGTCACCCAGAGAATGGTGAGCCTGTGGAATTCTCTGCCAAAACCCATTCAAGGCTGAACATTGAATAAAAATGGAATGTTTTCAAGAAAGAATTGGATCTAGTTCATGAGACGAAAGGGATCAAAGGGTATGGGGAGAAAGTAGAAGCTGCGGCCTGAGTTGGATAATTCATGACCATAATGAATGGTGGAGCCGGCTTGGAAAACCAAATGGCCTACTCCAATTCCTATTTTCTATCTTACTGTGAAATCGCGTCAGAAATCCCAGATTGTTGTAAAATATGCTACTGTTTTTTTCAGGAGAGAGAATCCATCAAGTTCAGCTGATGTTTGCTTCACTCTGTTTCAGCCTTAGTTCAATCATAGATCTAAACTCAATTGTAATCTATAATTGCAGCACAGAAAGAGGCCATTCAGCCTGTACCAGCTCCATGTTAATAGCAGCTCCTCTGATCCCACTCCTCCACCTTTTTCCCATGACAACAAATCTAAATCCAATTCTCTGTGGAAAGCCTCAGACTGAGGCAGTGTATTCTCATCCTGACTGCTTACTGTTCCATTGAAGGATGAGAAATGATTGAGGGGACAACAACAATGTTTGTGTCCTTCACTGAGCATTTTAGTTTACAAGCCTGTTAACACTGACAGTCCAATATGCGACAGTCCCTCAGACAGAGTGGGCAAACTCTCACAGTTTGAAGTCAGGAAATGTTGATCAAGGCCAGAAACCTGGCACAGTTCGTTTCAAATCCAAGGTTGATGTGCCTTGAAGAAAATTTAAAGTCCAGTTTGGTGCCACAATAGCATAGGTTCAGTGCTGGGGGAGTGCTGTACTGTCAGCAATGCCAGATGAGTTCGTAAACTAATTGCCCACCTTTGAATGATCCCATGGATTTCGGAGTGTGAAGGGTTAAATCCAATTTCAGTATGGTGCCAGGTTAAGAGGAAGTGGGCCAGCACAGAAAAAAATGACAGCTTCTTAATGAAGTATGGGATGTAGATAATTAATTTGAATAGATTGAAAGGGAAGTTAATTAAATATTGAAATTAAAATATTACACTATTAGCTGATGATCAGTCTTATATGGTCAGAAATAAATTAAACAGGGACCAAATCTCAAAGGGTTTACACGTTACCAACTGGACAGCCAGAAAAAAAAAATCAGCACTTGGGCATTTACTCTAGATCTTGAAACACCATCAGCTCAGGTTCATTTTGATTCAAGAACAGATTTTGAACATATTGCGTATGTGTCCCTGTGTCGCTACTTGTTTGAAGGAAGTCCTGCCTGAGAGAAGTTGCTTGTTGCTGGTTTTGTCACTTACCATTCTGATTGAGGAGCCCTGTTTGGCAAAGACACTGCCCAGTCACTGGTGTAACATTGAATAGAGATTTTGCTATCAGGGAGTGAACCCCCCTTCTCCCCCCCACCCCCAAGCAGTGTCAGTTTGTAAGGAGCAGACAGTAAGAGCACAGGAGCACAGGAGATGGTTCATCCTTTTGCCTTATTGCTGCCAGGTTCTCCTACCTCACCCATGGCACTAACC